GAATAACAGAACTTATATTTTATTCAAGAACTTTGCTATAAGATTTAACAACAAACACTGAAAATATAATTTATAAACCAAAGTGAGAATTGACTGGTAAATTATAGCCTCCCAGTATTTGAAATACCATTTATTAATTTATTGATATGCTAGTTGCAAACTGTTCATCTTTAGACATATATCCAGAGTAAGTTATCGTGATGTTAACTCTATTGTGTATAATAGGATTTGTTTTGCTTTTATTCTGTGACAATCAATGACCTTTATCAGGAAATATGTACTGAGCCCTAATTTATAAGAAACTATTTGCTTTTAAGAATAGGTAGAAATAATTTTCCCCCTATTTTCCCTGATGGGAGGGAGGGAGGTGGAAGATGGAGGATTAATAATATGTTTGGAATGTGATCTTCAAACTAATTCATTAGTTAGAGCTACCCAGGTTTCTTCTAGCTTATTGTTGCAATCTCAGTTTGATATAAATCAATACAGGTTTAACAGTAGGGTACTTCCCTATATAAACATTACTTAATTTTCATACTAGTCCTTTGCTGTTTTTGTTTATACATTTACATTTCACTTGTTTTCTATAATTAAATACTAAAATTCTAGGAAATGTAAGCAAGTCAAGAAATTAATAAATTAAATTGAGTAAATAAATGATCATAATTATAGCTAAAACTTTTAGTACTTATTATTAGCCAGACACTGTTCTAAGAACTTGACACATACTTACACTTTTAGGCCCACAACAACCTAATGAGACAGCACTTTTATTATCCCCACCCATTTCACAAGTGAGGAAGTGGAGTCAGGGAAAGGTTCAGAAACTTGCCTAGCGTTACTCAGATGGTAGGTGATAGAGTCAGCATTTGTACCCGGGCAGTCAGCAACACAACCTATGCACTCAGCTCCCAAGCTGTGCTAGATTATTATTTGTGTATACTTGGCCACATTCACATACCTAGTAAGTGGTGAGGCTAGAACTCAAACAGGTGTGCCTGAAAATACTTATTTAAATAAAACATGTATTATTATGGACTTATTTCACAACTTTTAATTTTTACACCAAGTCTTCAGTCTTGAGTTTGCTTCAGATATCATTTTTCTTAAATTATAACTAGGATTGGTGGATTTACAAAATACCGACCTAAAAGCCTTGCCTAAGAGCCTTTTAAGCAAGAAAAACTTGCATAAATGTGAAAATTTTTCAAATGTTAAAGTACATTTGCTTAACCTTGGCTCATACAGACTAATCCCAAAGGAAATTCCTACATCTACAAATGGGAAATTGGAACAGATTTCTGTCCCATAATACGGCTTCTTGAGTTGCCAAGACAAAATGTTTTATATGGAAGGCAGCATTTTTAAAGTTAACCGTACAGTTCTCTACTAGTAACTAAAGAAAAGATTCTCTCCATAAATGAGAGGTCTTTCCACTGGTGTATAGTCATTTTTATAGCCCTGAGAAGACATTTTAACTTTCTTCTTTGATTTTGCAATTCTCCTACCACCTTTGGAAGTCCTGAGATTTTTAAAGATATTTCAACATATTCTGCAGAATTGTAAAAGTTAGAAATCATTGCCCTGAAGTAGTGCTTCTCTATAATTTTTTTTTCTATTAAGACACCCACAGAGGACGCTTGAAGGTTATATGGATAACATACTCAAGAATATGTTATTACAGTCATAACTGTGAAACCCATTATCATTTATAAAGAAAGTAAATCTATCCTACCTTATGATTTTCATACTGGTTGAGAACAACATGTTTAGAGAGAGCATTGCTCATATTAACCAGTTTGATTTGACTAAATTAACCAATCAGTTCAGTAAGCCAGTCTGGTTTTAAAGCTAGTCTTTTTTTTTTTTGTCTTTTCAGAAATATGCAATAGCTAAATAATTTCAAATATACCCTGTCTTCCATTTCCATATCCACATTTCATTCTTCATACCATGCGTAGGCATTACCATTCTACACAAAAGTGCTGAGAAGTCTATGGAGAAACCATATTTTCATTCATTCATTCAAAAATATTGACGATGTTTGATGTGTTAGTAGCTAGGCGGATATGCTGCCTTCCCTCTTAGAGCTTACAGTCTAATAGAGATATAGACATAAATAGAAATAACTATTGTAATTATAACTGTGAGAAGTGTTGGGAGGCAAAGCACAGAGTGAAATGAGAGATTATAAGAAAGCCTAATTTAGGAGTTACAGAAAGGTGCTGTGAGAAAGTGAGAATTAAACACTGATTCGGGTGTCAGTGATAGCTCTCAGTTTCTCATGAGCCCAGCCAGTAACAGCAGCCTCCCATACACCTTTGAATACAGTTTGCCTGGAGTTCACAGCTAGTAAGTGGCAGAGCTAGATTCTAGACCCGTAATCTGGCTCTGGAGTTTATAATCCAACTACTCGATACGTTATTTCTTTATTATTATACTGCATTTTCTTCTAATGTGCTAAGGTCTTGAAAACCAAGTACAATAATGAAAGTTATTTATTGTGCACCTTCTGTGTGCCATGTTCCTTTAATTTCATGATAATTCTTCAGGGAATTTATTTTCCTTGTTTTATACATGTGAAAACTTAAACTCAGAGAAGTTAAACAACTTGCCCACAGATCATAAATCTCAATGGGCCTGACTTCAGTGAACATAAAAGGGGCATTCCTATGAGCAAAATAAGTTAAGATTGTTGGCTGATCTTTGTGGCATCACTTTTATATGATTGCAGTTTTGTTTTTGTTTTTT